TTGCTGGGAGACCAGTGAGGAGGTTACTGCAAAGTCAAGGCGAGAGATATTGGTGGACAGGACCAGGGGGAGGTAGAAAGGGGCTGAGAAGTAAATCGTTTCTGCACCCTCCTTGCTCTCTCTCATCTTGTCTTTCTTCACCACGGAGCCTACCCGGTCTATGGCACAGATCTGATCCTGTCATTCCCCTGTTCAAAACCACCCATGTTCCCAGGTTTCCCGGGACATAGCTGAAGCTCTTCAGCTGGTTCCTGCCAGCCCTTCTTGCCTCAGCTTCTACCCTCCTGCAGCCACACTGAAGTTTTTTCTCTTTCTCCATTAGCTGGGATACTAATCTTTGCTGATGCCATTCCCTCTGCAGGAACCTGGTTCCTTCTCTCTCTCCTCTGGTAATCTCCTCCCTTTCCCCAGAAGGCCTTGCTTGTTCTTTATGCTCGAGTCAGATTCCATGACAGGCCTGCTAGATTCTATAGCGTCTTCTCAGGCGGGAGAGGGATGTACGTCTCCCCAACATTGGTGGCTTCAGGGGAAAATGGGGTAAAAGTGGTTAGACTTTGGATATACTTTGAAGGCACAGCCAACATGATTTCCTGATGGAGTGGATGTGGACTAGATCGGGAAGGAGTCAAGGCTGAATCCTTCAGTCAGCACTCTCTTCCTTCCAGACCTTTCCATCTGTTGTACCTTGGCTGGGGGCACTATCCTGCCTCCTTTCTCACGCCAGCTCCCACTCATCATCTGGTCTCTGCTAAAATGACTCTTCCTGCAGGAAACCTTTATTGGCTTCCCAGATGGAGTCCCCCCCTCTCGCTGGGTGGTCTCATCTCGGCGGCCCCCTCCTTTTTTAAAAGCATTCAATTCTGTACACTTGATCATTGTTATTTGTATAGTGTTTGTCTCCCCATCTGAGCAGGGAAGGAGGTGAAAGATCACAGATTCCAGAGTCACACTGCCTGTGTTTAAACTCTGACTGTCACTTTGGAGCTGCGTGACTCTGGGCAAATCATTTAACCTCTGTGCCCCTTAGTTTCCTCACCCGGAAAATGGGACTAATAATAGTACTTGCCTCGTGGGTGTTGAGCAGACCGATTAAGTTAATTCACGTCAAGTGCTTAGGACAGGGCCCAACACTTAGGAAAGACTCAATAAACTGTTTTTTACATTTTTCTTACCCATTGGGAAGACCCCGAGCTGTGTGGAGATGGAGGGGCATGCACCTTTACCTCAGGCCTTTGCCCAGGATCACCCTCTGTGAATAAAGGCACAGACCATGCTTTTTCAAACTTTGGGTCTGCAACCTGTTTTATACTTTGACAGTCAGATACACGGAAAACTGAAACATGACGGGTTATCCCAGCACAGACATTCTTTTTTTTCCCCCTTAACTAAGGTGAAAGTCACATGACATAAATCTAGCTGAATTAAAGTGTGTTTCAGTGGCATTTAGGATACTCAGAAGGTTATGCCATCACCCTTTCTCTCTAGTTCTAAAACATTTTCATCATCCTAAAAGGAAACCCTGTATCCATGAAGCAGTCCCACCTACCCACCCCAGCCTCCTCATACCCACCGATCTGCTTTCTGACTCTGTGAACCAATATTCTTTTTTTTTTTTTAAAGATTTATTTATTTATTTATACAAGCACTGGGTACAGTCAGAAGCGCGGGAGGGTGAGAGAATTCACCAGAGCCAGAGCAGGGAGCAGAACAGGCAGAAGGACCGAAGGACCGAAGCACACTGCTGAGGGGAGCAGCGGGCGGCAGGAGAGGTCTGCGCGCCATGCGGGACCCTCCTCTGGTGGCTGGGGAGCAGCCGGGGATCGAACCGGTGCCACGGAGGCTTCGGGCAGCTTCGCAACCCAGTGCTCAACCGCTGCGCCACCGGGGAGGCCCCTGTGAACCAATATTCTTATTACCTGTGATGCATGCTGATATTTTCTGTTCTGTTTAATTTACTTTTTTTAAGATTTTTTTTCTTAATTTTTAATAAGACATGGTTTAAGGCCCCCACATAATGATTTCCCAGCACAGTCATGCAGCATGGCACATTGGAATCACCTTGAGAGCTTCAGAGTAAAGGTATTGATCCCTGGGCCTGAACCCAGAGATTTTGAAGTGATGGTGGGATTTCTAGAAGGTACCAGGTAATGCTATCTGCAGCCAAAGCAAGCACGGTTAACCGAGTGTGCCTCTTCACTTTGGAAAAACTGGAATGAGGACCTCTCGGGTGGCGCAAGGGGTTAAGCACAGCACTGTGAAGCTGTCTACATTCCCGGCCCACCGGGGAGCTACCCATATGGTGCAGCAGACCTCTCCTGTCTTGCCCTCTGCTCCCCTCAGCAGTGTATTTCAGTCCATCTGCCTGTTCTACTCCCCACTCTATCTCTGGTGAATCCTCTCACCACCACCCCCCCACAACTCTGGCCTGTACCCCAGTTCTTGTATGCATAAATAAATAAATTTTTTCTTTTTTTTAAAAAGGAGGGCCTCCCCTGGTGGCACAGCGGTTGAGTGCTGGGCTGCGAGGCTGCCCACAGCCTCTGCAGCGCCGGTTCGTTCCCCGGCCGCCGGCAAGTGTCCCACAAAATAAATACATACATACATACATAAATAAATAAATAATAAATTAAAGAAATAATAATAAAAAAAAAGGAAACACTGGAATGAGACCCAGAGATGCAGTGATGTAGGAACAGAGCGATCCAGAGATGCAAAAGTGGGAACATGATATTGGATGTTTAGGCATTGAGTGTCCTCTCTGCAGACTCAAGAAGACAGCTTTCCAGGGCAATCCAACAGGGAAATGTATGTACCCTCAGGGAGAACCCGGTATTAACTGCAGATGAGAAATAGAAAATCAGACAGACCATGTAGAAACTCTGGGAGAAAAATGATGGTATGGACAGAGGGAGGAAGATACTCAGAAATGAAACAGATACCTGCTGGACAGACCCAGGATCTCTGCAGTCACCACACACTTCTCTTTCAGCTCACCTGTTCTCCAGGACCAGCCCTGCCCTTCCAGCTGGGAGCCAGACCCAGGCCTCGGAAGGCTATGCCCCTCACCTAACCTGGCCCCGGAGAAGCTGCCCCGCCATCTGTCCCCCTTCCCTGGCCTGGTGGGGCCTGGCTGAGGGGCAAGACTGAGCCATGGGGGAAGGGGGAATCCATACCTGCTGCTGCTTCCTCTGTCTTGGCTAATCCCTGTCCCCCCTGAACCCCTACATACTCAAAGAGTTTCCAAAGCCTGAGACCAGGGCCATTTGGCCCCAGCTTCCTGCCTGGCCCTGCCATTGCGAGTACGTGTTATTTATTACCTGGAGGCCTGTACTGTCCACACCCCACTCATATAAAGCATTGTTTACACCTCTGTCTTGACCTGTTATTCTGGGGTGGTGGGGAGGGAGTGGGAGAATTACAAGTCATGATGATTAGGGGCCATGTTTCTGTGTTGGATGTGGTGTGAGGTCTGTTGTGGAGGGAGTTTGTCATTCTGCACATTTTGTGACATTGTCCTAGAGACCTACATGAATAATAGATGTCCTCAATGATGGCATCTGTAAGAATGTGTGCTGCTCGTGTGTGTGACACTTGCTTATGACTGCTGTCTTCCACGCCTATGTCATGAGGCTGCTGGTGCTTGGGTGACTATCATAGGGAGGATTTGGGTCTCTAAGTGAGCCTGGGGTAGGTGATACCTATACATGTGTGATGCCTGATGGTGTGTGCCCCTGAGGCCTGTGTGTTTGGTGTGTATTTGGCTCTCTTGACACCTGTATGTATGGCCATGAACCCGGGGATGTCCGTGGGCCTTGGTGCAACGCTGACTCACGTGCATATTTGAAATCCTTGTGAATTGCGGACATCCCACGAGGTCTGCTAGGGACTGGTGCAGCCCTCTCAGGACACTCAATGCTCCACCCCCCAAGTCAGCCTTAACGCACCTCCCTCCGGAGCCTTAGTCCCTGCGGGGGCGGGGCATCTAAATGACCTCATCTGTGCAGTCCTGGTAGATGTTTCTCCAAATGTTCATACAGATACCTGGCTGTCAGGCAAATATCTTCCCTAGGTAGCTTTCCTAGGTTACTTTATTCCGACTCCACAAATGTCCCGAGGGGGCAGGAAGAAGGGGGTTACGATTGTTTGCACCTCCCTTCCAGCCCGCCCTCCCGTCAAGGATCGCCTTTCCTCCGTTAGAAAGAGAACTTATGTAAATTACTTACTGACCTGCTAATTTGCACACACTTCCCAACTAACTGCGCAGTCATTTCTCGGTATCTCACCCTAGTCTTGGTCCGCGGGAGGGCGGGGCTTCCTATGCAAATGAGTTAATTTGCATACCACGGCCCGGTCTGGCGACGGGTCCATCTGCCGCGTTCTTGGTGCTGAGAGGGTGGACCTCCATGGTGGACCGCCATGGAAATAGACTTATTTGCATACCCCTCCCACGTCGCTGGGCATAATTTGCGCAGAAACGCTCTCCTCTGCGATCCAGCCCCTCCTGCGTTCCACCTCTCGCGCACAGGGGGCGGGGCGGAGAATGCAAATGACCGTCGCAACGGGCGACCGACCCACTTCCCCTTTCCCGAGACCAGGCTCTTCTAACTTCGTCGCCCCGCCCTGCGCGGCTCGCGCCTGCGCGCGCACCTTCTCCTCCGCCCGGGCGCGGTCACGTGCCCCCCGGGCGAGGCGGGGGCGGGGCGTCGCGGGCGGTGGGGGCGGGGTATGGCGCGCTGTGCTGCGCTGGGCGGCTGGCACACACGGCGGCGCCGGGGTCGGAGGAAAAAGCTCGGTGAGGGGGCCGCGGGGAGGGCAGGGCGCGGGGCGGGGGAGGCCTGGGAGCCGGGGCGCGCCGGGCAGGCCGTGGCGGAGCGGGGTGACCCTGGGGAGGGGCGAGTGGGGGCGGGGAGCGGGGGGAAGGCGCGCAGGGCGCGTTGAGTACCGGCTGTGGGGGGGCTGGGGGGAGCCGGAGCGCGCGCCGGACGGCGGGGAAAGGAGGGGGCACGGGGTCCCCGCGGCCCCTAGGCCCTATCTCCGTCGTCTGCTGCGTCCCGCGAGGGCCTCCGGCCCCCACCGGAGGGAGTTGGGAGGCGCTTTTCCCCTCCGTCCTGTCCCCGAGTGCGTGAACCCTCCTCCGCCCTTCCCTCCGTGGCTGTGGACCCTCCTCCTGCGGCTCCCTTCCGTCTGTCGGTCTGTCTGAGGACCTCCCTTCCGTCTGGGTGTGTGTCAGCCCCCAGCCGACTTCCTCCGGTTCTGCTCAGGTCGACCCCCTCCGCCCGGTTCCGTGTCTCCGGCACTCCCGCTCGGCTTCGCTTCGGTCTGTTTTCCTGTCCCTGGGGCCCCCATTCTCTTTGTCTTTGGACCCCCCCCCCAGTTTCCTCTGCCTGTGGACTCCATGCTTTGCTTCTCTGTCTCTGGAACCCCCAGGCAGAGCCCCTCTATTTGTTTCCTGCTCCCCACGCCTCCTCCGTTCCTTTCCTGCTTCAGGCCCCTTCTTTTCTGTCTGAGGATGCTCCTCACCCCCTCCCCAGCCCCCATGGCGGTCTTCTGCGTTCTGTTGGCCCTGTTCCTCCAACTGACCCCTTCACCACCTCTTGTCTGTCACTGATTTCTTCCCCTAATTCTCAGGGTCTTCTCCCCCACTTGACCTCAGGTTTTGGGAGTTCTCTGTAGCCTAGTTTGTGTTCCTTTCTACTGCCCCTGCACCTTCCCCTCCTTCCACCCATCCTGCCTGCCTCTAAGCTCCTCTCACATCCCTTTTTCTCTCTCTTCCTCCAGCCACCCTGACGTGTCCCTGTCCAAGCCTCTAGGGACAGCAGAGGATTTGGGGACCAGCGAGCACCCCCAGGGCGCAAGAAGAGCCTCTGCCACTTGCCCTGCCTCACCCTGCCTCACACCAGGCTCAGCCGCCCCGGCCCCCGGCTGCATCAAGTGGAGGAGGAGGAGGCGGAGGAGGGTGGCACCATGGGCCCGGGCCGTGCCCTCCATGCCCGGGGGATGAAGACGCTGCTGCCATGGACAGCCCGTGCCAGCCGCAGCCCCTGAGTCAGGCTCAACCTCAGTTGCCGGGTTCTGTGTCAGAGCCTTTGGAGACTAGCCGGGCCGGGATGGGGGTGGAGAGCTACCTGCCCTGTCCCCTGCTACCCTCCTACCACCATCCAGGAGTGCCCGGTGAGGCCTCGGCTGGGAGTGGGACCCCCAGAGCCACAGCCACTTCTACCACAGCCAGCCCCCTTCGGGAAGGCTTCGGTGGGCAGGATGGTGGTGAGCTGTGGCCACTGCAGAGTGAGGGCGCCGCAGCACTGGTCACCAAGGGGTGTCAGCGACTGGCAGCTCAGGGTGCCCGGCCTGAGGCCCCCAAACGGAAATGGGCAGAGGATGGGGGGGATGCCCCTGCACCCAGCAAGCGGCCCTGGGCCAGGCAGGAGAACCAGGAGGCAGAGGCAGAGAGGGAGGGTGGCATGGGCTGCTGCAGCGGCGAGGCCAGCAGCGGGCAGAGGGAGGAGATGCCGCCCTCCGCCCCTGAGCGCCTGGCCCTGGACTATATTGTGCCCTGCATGCGGTACTATGGCATCTGCGTCAAGGACACCTTCCTGGGGGCCACCCTGGGTGGCCGCGTGCTGGCCGAGGTGGAGGCCCTGAAGCGGGATGGGCGGCTGCGGGATGGGCAGCTCGTGAGCCAGAGGGCCATCCCGCCACGCAGCATCCGCGGGGACCAGATTGCCTGGGTGGAAGGCCACGAGCCAGGCTGCCGAAGCATCGGTGCCCTCATGGCCCATGTGGACGCTGTGATCCGGCACTGCGCCGGCCGGCTGGGCGCCTACGTCATCAACGGGCGCACCAAGGTACGGCTTTGTGGGGGGCACCTGGGAAGAGCTGCCAGCACTTCTGGTTGCTTCGTGCTCTCAGCATAAGAGAGTTTGGACACAGACTTGTGGGGTCACCCAAGGGTTTAGACAGCACCTGTAGAGGCAGTGTGGGGTGCACTTTGGGCCCTCCCTCACCTGTGGGGCTTTGGGGCCAGTGTGCTTTCTCCCCGTGGGCCTTCGTTTGTATACCTCTGGATCAGTGGTTTAACCTGTAGTCACAGTGGTTTCTGGTCTTGCCAGGGGCCCTTTGGAAGGACCTGAGCAGAGGTGCCAACACCTGTGCACTGGCCATGGTGGGGTTTCTGGTCCCTAGTGTGTCTTCATGGGCTCTACACCAAGAACCATCCGTGTGGGCATCCCCAGGTTTTTTGCCGCCTCCTGTCCACGGGCACTTGTCTTTCCCCATCTTGGCGTTTCCTGTTTCCCCATCCTCATCTGCTGTCCTGTGTGTCTGGCCCTTCCTGTCCCGCATCTGCCTCTGGTCTCCATTCTGTCTCCCAGGCAGGAGAACCGGGTAGCTGTGGGGAGAGTGGCAGCAGTGAGGTCAGTGCCAGGCTGAGGGAGGAGGTGCTGCTGCCTGCTGTGTTGTGCACGGCACCACTTTGTACCCAGCTTGCAGCTGAGGTGTCTGCATCAAGGACAGCTTCTTGATGCTGGGTCTGGCTGACCATGGTGGAATTCCGGGCCTTGTCCCTGTCCCCCCATCCTTCCTGTCCCATCACTTCATCCCTGCCTGTCTCTGGTCTCCTCCCTTGACCTGCTGCCTTCTTCCTCTTGGTCATTTTTTTCTAGTTTTAAAGTACTAGGCGTTAATCTTTTCTTGGAACCTGCGCCTTTTTGAGAATCAACCAGAAATCATAGACCTCTTAAGCAAAACACTCACTGGATTGGAATTTATGGGCAGTTGTCAGGGCCTCAGGAACCAGGGGTCATGAGCCATGCACAAGACAATGGTCCCCAGGGCCTTTCCAGCTGCTGACACACGGATTCTCTTCAGGGCGGGTGTGAGGGCCTGATCTGTAGTCCAGGGCTTGGTGTCACTTGGATACAACTGTGGGGAGTGGCCGCTGCTCAACACCAGTGATGCCTGACTGCTGTGTTCTGTCCGGTGGACAGGAGGCTGTGCTCCCTCATCCCCTTCCTCCCCGCCTTGGATCCTTCTTGGGTTCGCCCTCTTGCAACTTCCCTCAGCCTGGAGCTGGCTCGGGGACCAGGGCTCCCCCGGTGCCCAGGCCAGTATCCTCCCCACCCGAGCTGGAACTTGTCCTGCTTCCCTTGATAGTGAGAGCAGAGGCAGCTTCTCCCTGGGCTTGGTCCCTCAGGGCTTGCCTCCTGTCCCTTCCCAGGCAGGAGAGCAGTAGGAGTTTCCCGGGCCACAGGGTGCTAAGCACCTTCTCCCAGGACCTCCTGTCATCTCTGGAGAGAGGCTGGTGGAGGTCAGGTGAGTAGCCTGGGGCAGGACATTTGCTTGGCCATAGAGTAGGAAAAGCAGGTTTAAGTCTCCAGCTAGTCTGTGGCTCTTGTAGGAGGAGAAGTAGCAGGAGCAGATCTCTTCCCTTGTGGTGCCTCTGCCTTCCACTTTGGATGTGGTTAGGGACAGGGCTTTGGCTAGGATTGGGGGGGGTGGGTAATTGGTATCTTCTAGCCCTGGGTGACCTCTGTTGCCCTAAGAGGCAAGAACAAGCCAAGCTGGACAGAGAAGGGAGGGGAGGAGCCAGCCCAGTCACTGGAGTTCCTCTCAGACCATTCCCTGCTCCTGGGAGACAGCAACTCCAGGCTTCCCTGCCTTCAAAGGGTGACATCTGGGCTCCCTTCCAAGGCTCTGGAGTAAGAGTGGGATACTGAGATGGGTGGCCACAGTGGTGGGGGCATGGATCACCCGTGTGCCCTGGGCCAGCAACACTGGCCCCTTGATAGTTCCTGAGCTCGCACGTCTGTCCTGCCTTCTCTCCTGTGCCTGAGCCCTCTGCTCATTGACCTGCGGGTGGGAGAGCCCTCTCCCCTTGGCATCATGGACCACCACAGGGCACCCCAGGGAGGGCCTGGCTGACTTGGTTTGCCCCTTTAAGAGCAGTTTGGAGGTGGGGCCTGCTGTCATTGGCTTAGTTCCCAGCTTCTGACTTGGGAGAGTGCTAGTGCTTGGGGGGGGGGGGGTTGGGGAACTGATGGGGTTTTTGGCACATTGTCACCCATGGCCTTTAACTCTTTAATCTCCTGGCTCTGATCCCAGCTTACCCTTCCCTGAGGTGGGAGGGTGAGGAGCAACTCTCTGTGGCACTCTGCTTGTTGTCCTTGAGCACTGAGGCTCTCCCTTGGGACAGGAAGTCCACACACACTCTCCTCCACCCCCAACCAGGTGTTTGTAGGAGGGGGATGAGTGGGACTTTAATGGCCTTATGCAAAGTCCCTTTCCATGCCTGCACAGTGAGGCACTCTGTGTGAGGGTACCCAGGACAGAACAGAGCAGAGGCGGCCTTGAGACACAGAGACTTGCTTTCAGTTAGCAGCTGCCTGGGTGCTAGGGTGACAGGATGGCCCCAGGGGCTTCCGTGGTGCTGCTTCTCCGGCCAGTGCTGGTAAACAGCTGTTTGCTGAGTTCCCTGAAAGAAGTGGGAGTTGGAAATCAGCTCAGGTGGCTTCAGCTGGCACAGTCACCCTTGACTGGAGACCTGCAGGGGGCATGACCACCGCAGGTGCAAAGGCCTTGAGGTGAGGCTGAGCAGGGCCTGTTAGGAGAGTCAGGAGCCTATGAGGCTGCAGCAGAGTAATGGGCACAGGATGAGGTCAGTGGTCTTGGAGGCTGCAGTCAGGCACTTGTATTTCCTCAGGATGCAATGGGAACCGAGCCGCAAGAGCTGGAGAAATGAGTGTCTGGCCGCTGTTGCAAGAGCTTGCAGCACTGGACCCCTTTCTCCCTTCCTCCCCCATCTTCATGCAGAACCAGTGAAGTCTCTGCTTGGGTCCTAGCTGGGGAGGCCTCCCCTGTCCCTAGTTAGTAGCCCACAGTCACATTTTTTCTTCAGAGGCTGTCCTGTCAGCAGGGAGTGAGCACTGCAGAGAAGCTTCTCTCCCTCTGGCTCTTGGAGTTTCGAGGACCAGGGCTTTGCCCTGTGCTGCCACAGAGAAGTGTGACTCCTTTGGGCGGCCTTAATCTGGTGGCTGCCCTCCTGGCTGCTTGCCCAGGGCCAGTGCTACAAGGGCGTGTGCACCTTGCACAGGAAAACATGTGCAAGGTGCACATGTTTAATGCAGAGCAGTTTACCAGTGGGGTGAGGCCAGGAGATGATGTGTTGTGAGGAGTCTGCCTGGCCTGCCCTGGAGTGCTCGGCAAGGCTCTTGCTTTGGCAGCAAAGGCTCATGTGAGGTCGGAATGTTGATGTTGCCAGGCTGTGCGCAGATGCAGCTGGGCTTTGGTGGCCAGCAGCGTCCGGTCTGGCCTCAGTGTGGGTCAAGGGGTCAAGACAGATGGTTCCCAGCTGGGGGGAAGCTGGGGGGTCTTCATGCCGGTACTCCCAGGTGCTTTGAACAGCAGGTAGGACAGGCACCATTTCAGCCAGTGCTTAGGCCTCTGTCATGTGGTCGACACTGTCACGTGCCTTCCCAGATGCTCTGTTTTGTTCAGGTCCCTCAGCCACCTGTGAAATAGCTGTTGTGAGGTTCCATTTCATGGATGAGAGGCCTGGGATGGGGAAGAGCAGTTACCTGCCCGGCATCATGGCTTGTGTTATAGCACTGAGATGGCCCTGGGGCGTGGACTGCAAGACTGCCTGGGCCGACCATCCTGGTGGTCAGGGCTGACCTGGGGAACTGCTGCTGTTGGAACAGGATGCGAGCGCCCTAGCGTTAGACCTCTACCCAGAAGCCAAGACCTGGAATGAGTCACTAATGGGAACCCCCAGAGCTGTGTTCTCAGAGAGGTTCATGCCTCTCTGAGATAAACACGGGTGTCTGTTGGCCCCATTGAAACTGGCACCTGATGGACTGCCCAAGGCTACGTTCACAGCATGTCCGTGGCGTGGGGACTAGAACTCAAGTCTGTCCACCTGTAGGTTTTGGTACCTGTTCCAGGGTGTGTGAGACACGTTGGGGATTTAGTGGGGATTCTTTGTAGTCAGGGGCAGTGCTTCTCGACACTCCTGCTCAGAAGAATCACCTGGGGGAGCCTTTGAAAATTCCTGGCTTTGTCTTAGACCTAGCACACAGCACCTCTTGGTGCGCTGGGGTATTGGCATTGGGTATCTGCGTTGGGTGAGTCCCCCCTGTGGCCGAGGGTGAGAACCCCCGTGTAGGGCTATGAAGCCACATCCCTGCACGCCAGCCATTGTTTACATGGGCTTTATTCTGCTGAAATGTCCAAGGCGGGGTTGGGCTACCTATAAAAAGTAAAACTCTCAGTTATTCGTTGAGCCCCACTGGGTGCCCGGCTCTGGGTGCTAGGCTTTGGGTGTGTGTGTGTGGGGGAATGGACTTTTCAGATACAGAAGCTGAGGTTTCTGGTGGATGGGACCTTGTTGAAAGGAGAGTCTGGAAACTGAGCCCGTGGAGCCCAGGACACTGGAGGATTCGGGTGGGATGTTGGGGAGGAAAAATTAGGCAAAGGCAAACCTCCTTCCTTCTCTACCAGGCCATGGTGGCTTGTTACCCAGGCAACGGGCTGGGCTACGTGAGGCACGTTGACAATCCCCATGGCGATGGACGCTGCATCACCTGTATCTATTACCTGAATCAGAACTGGGACGTCAAGGTAGGGTTGGGTGGGCAGGGGGGCGCATCTACTCCATTTCCCACTCTCAGCTCAGCTCTGGCATTGTCAGGGTCCTCTTCTCCTCCCACTGGGGGTGGAGGCTACGGTGTGCCAGCTGGCTCTTCCTGGGAAATGGCACCTCCTCTCCTGGCTGTCGTGGTGGCTCCCCCTCTTCGGGGACTGGTGCTGCCTGGCCAGCCCCTAGGCTGATGAACACTCCCGTGTCCTGTCTTTAGCTTCCTGCTAAAGACATCTCCATGGTAATGTGGACTCTGGGCTGTCATTCAGTTTAAGAGCCCGTGTGGTTAGGGGGTGGAGTGGTGTTTGCAGCCTACGCCCCTTGGTGGGCTCCCCAGAGTGGGCCACATCTGCCTCACCCTGTGCCCCGCCCCACCCCGCCCAGGTGCACGGCGGCCTGCTGCAGATCTTCCCGGAGGGCCGGCCTGTGGTAGCCAATATCGAGCCACTCTTTGACCGGCTGCTCATTTTCTGGTCTGACCGGCGGAATCCCCACGAGGTGAAGCCAGCCTATGCCACCAGGTATGACCCAGACTTCTGAGCCTATGCCCCGGTGTTACCCTGATGCCAACAAAAGTCTTGACAGGGCCTCCACCCAGCGTCACTAAGGAGTGATGATATGCTCTGGGGTGGGGAGGGTGGGGAAGATGGGGAGGGTGGGGGGCCCTGGTGGGAGCTGAAGGGTGGATGCTAGGTCTCTGAGGATGGGATTGAAGGAGAGTGATCTCTGACTGCCCTCTGGGCTGCTCTGGTCCCCAGGTATGCCATCACTGTCTGGTATTTTGATGCCAAGGAGCGAGCAGCAGCCAAAGACAAGTATCAGCTAGGTACCTACTTCCCCACCACTGTCCCCTCCCTCAAGCCCTTTCTTCTCCACTGCCTCATCCACCTCGCTAGTGCCACACCAATCCTGCTCTCGGCAGCTTTCTTGCCTGCCTGTGTCTGCAGGTGTCGTGTTCTTTCCTTTTTTAACATAACAGGACTGGTTCTTTGGATATTAAAAAAAAAAAATTTCCCTTCATTTTCCCTTCTCTTTGCCCACCTGCTACTATGCTGGAGCCCCCAGCATCAGCCTCCAAGGTTCTCCTTGGCCTCTTTGCCCCTTCCCTGATAACTCACTGTCTTCTGTCCCTCTTTCCCCTTAGCATCAGGACAGAAGGGTGTCCAAGTACCTGTGTCACAGCCCACCACGCCCACCTAGAGGCCAGCCCCGTTGCTGCATGGACAGACAGCTTGCCCTGACCGGGAGAGCCTGGGCCCGCGCCAGCCGCCCGCCTCGGTGCCTGCTCCTTCCCCACCGCCACTGCTGCTTCTGACTTTGCCTCTGTCCTGCCTGGTGTGGGGGGCGCTGTCCATCACCGAGGACCAGGGAGGAACAGAGAGACCTCTGCTGCCCAGTGGTGGGGACTGGGGTCGTGACCTGGGTAGGTCCCAGCGTTGGGGCCTGTCATTCTCAGAGCTGGGGACTTATGTCCTGCCCTGTCTGGTCGTGCCCCTGTCAGGGGGGGTGAGCTGGAAGGAGGCATTGCCACCTCCCACCAGGATGCAGGATTTGGGGTTAGGGTGAGTCATGGCCTCTTGCTGGCAAAGGTTTGTGTGGGGAGTCTTCCTCCCACTCCTCCAGCCTAGAATGTGAAGTGACTCCCCAAACCCTTTGGCCACGGCACCTTTCGGACTGGGCTGCCGCACTTGGGTGGATAAAAGGTGCTGGGAGGAGCATGGGTGTGGATGTCCTGTCAGCCAAGAAAGAAATAAAAGTACCTCAGAGCTATACACATCTGACTCCCCCTCCCTCTTCTTGGTAAGTAGACCCCTCCAGCTGCTGTTCTGGGGCTTTTATTCACCAAAGTGGGTAAGGTGGTCTGAGAACTAGTGGGTGGAGAGTGACCAAGCCTGATCTCAACGGGCCACCATCCGGAGCTGGAAGGCCGGGGGGATATTGCCCAGGCCGGTGCACTGCGGGGTGAGATCGATGTGGGCAGGGCTCCCCACCGGAAGCAGGCAGAACCGCTGAAGGATGGCAGTGAAGAAAAGGAAGATCTCCGATCGGGCCAGGCCTGCACCCAGGCACATCCGCTTTCCTGGGGGTAAGAGTGCAGGGTAAGAAGCTCTGGCACCCCAGGGCCTGTCTGGGCTGGTGCCTTCCCACCCTGGCCCAGACCTGGAGCAAAGGGCATGAAGGCATCATTGCTCTGGAACTCGCCCTTGTCATCCAGGAAGTTGGTGGGGTTGAAGCAATCTGGGCTCTTAAATTGGGTGGGGTCGTGGTGTGCTGACACAAGCAGAGGAATCACGACAGTGCCCTGGGGAGATGGGCAAGGATTACCCGCTGACTTGAGAAGACTGCCTTTCAGCCACCAATACCTCACCCGCTCTCCTGTCCCGTCTGCCCCAGAGGTGGGCCTTTTCCCTTCTCTACTACAAACCTCTGATCCCTGCTACACTCCTTCATGCCTGCTGATAGCAGTTAAGGGCAAGGTAACTTGCACCCTCCCCACACCCTCCCATGCAGAAAACAGGCTCTGTGGACCCGCCAGGACCTTGGGCAGGAAGTGGCAGTGCAGCTTGGCGTCGCGGGTGAGGGCACGTGGCAGCCCCAGGGGCACGACGCTAATGAAACGCTGGATCTCATGTAGCACGGCGTTGGTGTAGGGTAGGCGCGCACGGTCCTCCAGGCTTGGGGCATGTGTCCTCCCTACCACAGTGTCCAGCTCGGCCTGCATTTTGGCTGGGGGCACCAGAAGGGGTGAGCCGAGCCTAGCCCAGCCCCCAGCCACCTCACCCTGGGGTCTCCAGCTCGCAGACCTGCCACCTCTGGATACTTGAGCAGAATGAGAAGCCCGTAGCGCAGGGTGGTGCTTGTCGTCTCAGTGCCGCCGAAGAAAAGGTTGTGCGTGGTCATCACCAAGGTTTCCTCCTGGAAATGGCTCTCTGGGTCCTTCTGCTCCTGTAGGCAGGGGACACGGGTGCTGCTGCAAGTCGAGCGCCTGCTGATGGGCAGCGTGCGTAGTTCAGAGCAGCAGGGTCTGCACCTTATCCATCTGGTCGAGGAAGCAATCGATGAAGTCCCTGTGCTCCCCAGGCCTTCGGGTCTGTCGGTGCTGCTGGATTTGCTCTGAGATGAAGACCCGCAGCTCCGCAAAGTTTCGGAAGATTCGGTGGTGCGGGCCGGGGAGCCAGTCCAGGAGGGAGGGGAAAATGTTGTACATCTGGGGGGGGACAGGATCTCGATAAGACCATCAGTTTCCTCAAGGGAAGAGTGGATCAGGACTTCGATGTTACATGTCCTGGAACTCGTCCATTCCAGAGTGTAAGATCACTCCAATGATCCAGTGGCGACAGGCCTGTGAACTTGGGGTGTCATACATTGGGTGCACAGGGGTGACTGGGCCTGCCTTCTCACCTCGCCCCACCTGGAGCTCATGATGCGGAAGTTGTCATGAAAGAGGTCCAGGAGCCTCAGGAACTCTGCGTCCCCGTAGCCATAGCGCTTCCCGAAGACCACGGAGCAGATGACATTCGAGACCGCGCTGTCCAGTAGCCGCCTGGGGTCGAACGGGGCTCCTGGCAGCGGAAACAGGACGAGATGATAACGGCCCCCAGCCAGCTCCATCGTTCCTGGCGTCTTCCCACCCGAGCGCCTTCCCCGCCCCTTCTTGCCTGTCCATTGATCACCCACACTAGGTCCCGCTCCTCGCCCCCCAGGCCGCACCAGAGGTGGCTTCAAATTCGCCCAGCAGACAAGCCGCCTCCTCCTGGACGCGCTCCTCGACGGTCCGCGTGCCCAACTCGAACTCCTTGAGCGCCCCAAGCGCAAAGTTGCGCAGCGTCCGCCAGCGCTGTCCATTGGAAAACAGGATGCCTGGGGCGGGCCAGAGAGGGGGGCGGGGCGGGGTTGGCCACGCCCCGTCCCGGGGCCGTCGGGGGCGGAGCCGCCCACCTCGCCGCCCCGCCCCTCGCTCGGCGGTCCCGGCCGGCATCTCTGACCAGCGCGCGCTCCCGCAGGCTTTGACTCACAGGCTCTGCGCTTTCATTGGCTGCTCGAGGCCCTCCACTTAGCTCCGCCCCACCCTCCCCACCTAATTGGGCCTCAGTCACGAGGCCTCTCGGATAGGTCCCGCCCCTTTTCCCCGGCCCCGCCCCTTGGGGCCCAGACCGGGCGGGCCCAGGGGCTCTCGCTGCCGAGCCTCACCGTTTCCGCGCGTGAAGCGTTCGAAGACTGCCATGGCCCCGCGGCCGGAGAAGCTATCTGCCTGCAGCACTAAGGCGTCCCGCAGCGCCGCGTAGCCGCACAGCACCACAGCCGGCCGCGGGCCCAGCCACACCGTGAACACCGGGCCCCAGCGGCCGGAGAGCTGCGGGGCGAGGCGAGCTCAGCGGGTCCAGGTCTGGGCCCCTTGCCGCCCCCTCCTGCCCGCCCCCGAGGTCCCAGCGCACCCCCTCACGCCCCTCCTTCAACCCAGGCGACCCCGGGCCCTCATTCCAGGCCCAGCAATCAGGTCCCCAGCTCTTTCCTCCCTCAGACCCAGGAGTCCTCTTCCCTCAGGACCTAGAAGTCCAGGTCCCCCAGACCCCTGCACCCTCAGAACTAGGGTTCTGGGCCCTCAGTACTCACCTTGCCCACCAGGAGAGCAATCCCTCCCCTCCCCTGCCTCCACCCCAGGCTCCTCCTCGGCCTGGACTCAGGAATTGGGAGGGGGTGGGGGCGCAATTCCTGGGTGAACCTGGAGCTCTGGCCCACTGCCCCACTTCCCTGGAGGTCTTATTTCCCACCCCAGTCTCCTCTTTCCTCACACCAGAGCCCTGGCTTCCTGTGTCCCCGTCTTCTTCCTTCCTGGAACTCAGGGGTCCTGGCCCCTCAGTCTTCCTCAGGACTCATGCGGTCCAAGCCCTCAGCACTGTCTTCGTTTGGACAACCAGGAGTAGCAGTCCCCAGACCCATCTCTATAAAACCATAATTCTGCCCCCCATCCGCTGTGGAGACTACCTCCATGAGTGCACAGTCCAGGCGTCCAGACACCAGCTGCAGCAAGTTCCCCAGCAGCGGGAGTGGCTTGGGTCCTGGGGGTAGGGTCCCCTGCATTGGCAAGCCCGGCATCCCCCAATGCCGTTTGGCTAATGCCAGCAGCAGAAGTAGCAGCAGCAGCAGCACCACGGTTCCGGTGATCATCATGCCCTGGATTTTCCAGGCCTCTCCCAGGCACCTCTATTTGATTCCCTGGGGTCTTGGGTGGGGCAGGGGCGGAGACCCAAGTGGGAGGGGTGGTCACCTGCGGGTGGCTGCTCATTTCACTGATTCCCCAAGCCAAGGTCTCCACCCCACCCCTCAGGCCCAGCTCTGCTGTACCTGGCTCCTCCTGGCTCCCCCTGGCTTTTCTCTACGTGCTGCATCCTGACCTATTTGGCAACTTACATGCACCAGCATTTTTGTTTCAATAGATCTGGACATTTCTGGACCCATGGACTCCTGCATGCTGTACCCTGTACTTCTGACTCCGAAATACACTTGTAAAATCATCGCTGGCGCGTGCAGGTATACCTATGCTCCAGGCCAGTGGTTCCTGGGGCTCATACCCGAGCCCTGGGCACATCTGTGCCACTGCTTTGGGTGCCCTGTATGCTGTCACCAGTGTCCCCAATGGCCTCCTGGCACTCCATGCCTATTCTTATAACTCCTGGGTGTCTCCCCACATGTTGACTTCTCGAACTTTTGCCATGGCCTGAACATCTGCCATTTCTATCCCCAGAGTTCTGCTCCCACGTACCCCTAAATATACTGTGCCCATGCTGCCGTGCTCCCTTGCCTCGGTCCCTCAAGCCCATTGGAGGGCATCCCCACCTGAGGCCAGGCCATGATGGCAGACAAACATCTCTCACTCTGGCTGACCCAGGAGGAGGTTTGGGTAGGTCAGGGCTGGGAACAGAAGGCTAAGGAATGCAGCCACCTTCCTCCCCTCCCCTGCCTTGCCAGATCCAGTCTTCTGCCAAGTCCCTGAGCTGGGGAGAGGATGGGAGGCTTCTGCAGAGTCTGGGATGGGGCTTGTGTCTGGGAGTGTCTGTTTCTCTGTAGCTTTACCTCCTCTCTGTCTTCCGTTTCACTGTTTATTTTGTTGTGTCTCTTCTCATTTCCTTTTTTTTTTTTTAAAGATTTATTTATTTATACAAGCACTGGGTACAGTCAGAAGTGTGGGAGAGTGAGAGGATTCACCAGAGCCAGAGCGGGGAACAGAACAGGCAGAATGACGAAATACACTGCTGAGGGGAGCAGCGGGCACAGCAAGAGAGGTCTGTGCGCCATGAGGGACCCTTGCCGGCGGCCGGGGATTGAACCGGCGCTGCAGAGGCTTGGGGCAGCTTTGCAGCCCAGCACTCAACCGCTGCGCCACCAGGGGAGGCCCTCTTCTCATTTCTTTGTTTTATTTTTTCTCCTCTGTCTCTGTTTTACTCTGTGTCTGCCTCTATTCTTATTGTTTTCTGTCTTCCTTTTTCTTTTCAATGTCTGTTTTTTTCCTCCCCAAATCTCTCCTCTTTGTCTTTACCCTATCTCCCTGTGTTTCTCTCTCTCCCTGTTTCTATCTTTCTCTGGCTTTGTCATCAGTCTCCCTGTGGGTCAGCCTTTCCCTGTCTGGCAACCTGGTGACTGGTGGGGGTCATGGGTAGAGCTCCTGCTTAGAGGTGTTGACTCCACAGACAGTGGTGTGTGTGTGTGTGTGTGTGTGTGTGTGTGTGTTGGAGAACCCCACCCCCAACCCCATCCCACTGTCAGGTTCTCTTTTTATTAGGATCTCTCCAAGAGCAGGCATTTTGTCTTGATCATTTCTGCTGTAGCCCCAGCACCTAAAACAGTGCTTGGTGCACATGGACACTCAGTAAATGTTTGTTGACTGCATGCTTGACTTTCTTCATCCCAATTTTTGTGTTTCCCTTTCTTTCTTAGGACTTCTGAGTCTCTCCTTTCTCTCTCCATCTCTGCATCCCGGGCTGGGCCCTGGGGCAGACTGCGGTTAGCCTGTGGTGAGAATGGCGTGGGGATTAAGGAGCTGACGCCCCAAGTGGGGACCGCCTATAAGCCTCACCCAGTTGCCCCCATGTCAGCAGAGCATGTCCCAGCTTCTGGAGCATGTCCTGCTCAGGGTAGGGCTCCCAGGCCACCTCCACCCAGGCCTACAGGGCAGCCTCACTCTGGCCTGATCCTAGCTTAATGAAACTGGAGATGACTGGCCATTGAGAAAAGTTACCGTCAGCAGAATGTCAGGGTTTTCAGCACAGCACCAGGTTGGGAGGCTGAATGCCTGGCCCGGCTAGCCCCATCCCAAAGGGAGGGATCGCAAGACTAAGGGACTATCCAAGGAGAGGGGTGAGAAATGGGGAGTTTCAGTCTTCTGGGGTCCTGTGTCCCCATTCATTGCCCTTCCTCTCTCTTTCTCTGGACATTACTGTTTCTTTCCTTATCTCTCTCCTGTATAACGTCTCCCCCTTTCCTAATCTCTAGCTCTCTGCCTTACTCTGTGTCTCTGATCTCTGAGATGGAGGATAGCCGTCCCCTCCAGCTCCAATTAATGCAAAGAGGGGGATGGAGCTCAGATGCTTCTTGGCATGACTGAGCATCTGACCGATTATGGTTGCGGGAGAGGCTTGGGAAGGACAGGAGACCAAGTCTGTGAGGCCCGGGTCTAAGTCTCTGTCTCCTGCTCCCTTTAGTTCAGCCCACTCAGGTTTGAATCTGTTTTAAAGATAATTTATTAAGACGTGATACAAAAGGGCCCTCCTCCCGCCCCCCACCGTGCAATAGACGGAGTTCTGTAGATTAAACCAAGCACATACTTTTCCTCTCCCATGTCTTTCTCTGTCTTTGGGGGCGCAGACCCCATAAAGACAACAGCGACAGGGGGCGGTCATGTGGTCGGGGCGCGGTGAGCAGCGAGGTGACTGGGACGGGGGCAGACAGTGGAGCGGCGAGAGGTGCGTGCAGTCGGGCTGCCGGGCGGATCAGGACGCCCGGGGCGTTAGCGCTCGCGCATGCACAGCTGGAAGGGCCTTGGCAAATTGCCCAGACCAGAGCTGAGCGGAGTCAGGTCGATGTCCTCGGGCGCCACCAGCGGATGCAGGGTGAAGCTCTGCAGGATGGTCGTGAGGTAGAGGAAGAGCTCCATGCGCGCCAAGGCCTCCCCCAGGCACAAGCGGCGTCCTGCGGAGGGCGTGGGGCGGGGGTGTGGAGCCATGAGCTAAAATGGCTTCCTCCCCAAATTTCCAGAGGAAAAGATATAAAGATAATAGTTGGGGGCCTCACAGACCTAAGGGTCATCTAAAGGTCTGGGAAAGACGTTTTAAGTAAATTGTGGACCAGAAGAACCTGGCTGATTCGAGACGTGGGTTCGATTCCCAGCTCTTCGATTGGTACGTTTGTGATCTTGCGCAAGGCGCCCGTTTCTGGGCATTTCAAATGGGGATGCTAATAGTACCTCATTAGGTTGTTGTGAGTGGTAAATGCAGATACAACAGAGACAATACAATGTTTATGCAGGACTTATTATGCCGCCTGTTATACCCTAGTGCTTCACCACTGTTAATTTAATCCTCATGGGCCTCCCTGGTGGCGCGGGGGTTAAAGTCTCAGTACTATCAAGCTGTTGCCAGCCACTGAGATTTGAGTTCGATTCCCGGCCAGTTAGCCTACCCACATATGGGCAGCAGACCTCTCCTGTCTCACCCGCTGCTCCCCTCAGCAGTGTATGTCACTAGATCCGCCTGTTCTGCTCCCCACTCTGTCTCTGGTGAATCCTCTCACCTCCCGCACCTCTGACCTACACTCCAGTTCTTGTATGCAAAAATAAAAAAAAATAAAATCTTAAAAAAAAATTTAGTCCTCATAACAACTCCAAGAGGTGGGCCTTATTACTGTCTCCTTTCATTTGTTAAAATTTTATTAATTTATGCATACAAGAGCTGGGATGTAGGCCAGAGGTGCGGGGGGGGGGGGTGAGAGCATTCACCAGAGACAGAGTGGGGAGCAGAACAGGTGGATCCACTGAAATACACTGCTGAGGGGAGCAGTGGGCGAATCAGGAGAGGTCTGCTGTACCATGTGGGTCAGGCTGGGGATCAAACTGGTGCTGTAGTAGCTGCGGATTGCTTCATAGTGCTGACGCTTAACGCCTTGCACCACCAGGGAGACCCTACTATCTCCTTTTCATGATGACATTGAGGCACAGAGGGGTGAAGTAACATTCAAGGCTATGAACTAGGAGATGACAGGTTATAGGGATCTGGCTCTAAAGCTCAGCTCTTGGTCACCCCTTTTATAGCTCTTCTCAGAGGCAGCACCTACTCTTCTTTCTCTGCCCACCTGCCTCCCACTTAGTTAAATAGATCCCCCCTCTCCCAAGTCAGGTGAAGACTCAAAATATTAGAATCGCCTCAACTGCGCCACCCAGTGGTGATACTGATAGTGACCAGTTAGGAATTAAATTTTTCTTCCTGTCTGCCAGGATTTTAGTCTTTTGCCTGTAGGAGCAGAGTTGAGAGGGAGGATGAAGCCAGAGGGTTTGGAAAGTGGAATTAAGACTGGGAGGATGTAGGTAGGAATATGACTTTTGCACTCACCTGCTGAGAAGGGCATGTAGGCGGGGCTTTTCTTGAAGGACTGCTTGTCATCCAGAAAATGCTCAGGGTTGAATTCCTGGGGCTTCACGAACTGGCTGGGGTCACTGTGGACTGTGTTAAGGAGGGTGATGATATCTGTGCCCTGTGTAGGTGGGAGGCAGAATCAGTGGTTGAGAAGGTTGGGAGGGTCTCAAAGTAGGGTTTCCACTCTAAAGGACTGGAGGTCCTGGAAACCTGATGAGGGAGTGGGGGTGGTGAGACATGTGTGGGTGTCTCGGTTCTCAGTGATGGGCCCTGGAAACTGTTGTTGGAGTCTGAAGCCTAGATGTGGGATACCTCCACCCTTTTGTGGGAGCAGATTGGGAATTTCTGGAGAGAGGGCGAGGAGGTCTCTGAAAACAGAGTTTAGGTACAGAAGATCCGCAGGGTGAAGTCCTAGACCCTGGGGATTCCGGAGAGGGGTCCTAGGAAGGGAACCTGTCATGGGGAAGCATCCACATGGATCCAGTCCATTGTGGCATGGGATGGGGTCTGGGAAGGGTGTGTGTTTCTGGATGTAGGGGCTTTGGAATGTCTGTTGCTAGGGCTCAGGATGCCGGGAGCTACGCTTGATGTGTTGATTGCTAGGGGCCCGGGATTCTCCTGGCTAGAGCTTCAGAATGTCAGGTGCAAGGGATGCCTCTTCCTAGGGTGCCAGATGTCGCTTGCCAATGCCCAGGGCACCTTGGGTATCAGGAAACCGCGGAAGTTCGTGTCCCGAATGACGCGGTGCGGCAAGTTCATGGGGATGACGTCTGCGAAGCGCTGCACCTCGTGTATCACCGCATCGGTATAAGGCATGGACACTCGGTCCGCCACCGTTGGCTGCCGCGCTCGTCCCACCACGCGGTCGATCTCCTCCTGCACGCGAGCTGGAGATGGAGGGGGAACGTAGTGGAGGGTATCAGGTGGCCTGATGGGCAGGGAAAAGGCGCAAGGTGCATGCCAAAGTGTGGGAGCGGTCCAGTCAACTCGACCCGGGTGCTGCAGCAGGGGTGCATATGAGGGTGAGCGGGAGCCTCGGAGGGAGAGGGCGGGCTCTGACACGTAGATGAGGGGTGAAAGTTTGATTTAGGCAGGGGCTTCTAGAGGCTTCTAGAGGTCTCCGTGGAAACCCTCCTGACCTCTCCCCACGGAGCTCCCCGGAGACCAGGTTCCAGTGAGAGCAGACAGTATGCATCCTGGTCGGACGCTGCAGTGTCCCGGAGGCCAGGGTTCCCGGAAAGACTCAGAAGTAGGATTTGCGGAGATGGGGGGAAGCAGACAAGGCTGTGTGGGAGGGCCGGGCTTGCTGGGCAGACTCTTAGCGGAGGCTGGAGGGCGCGGCTCTGGGCGGAGCCAGGGCTCCTGTGGGCGGGGCTTAGCGGCGAGTGGGCCTCCCCACCTGCCTTGGGGTGCGCGCACCTTGCACTTTTGGGTACTTCATGAGTATGAGGAAAGCGTGACGCAGTGTGGTGCCCACGGTCTCGGTGCCGCCAAAGAGCAGGTTATGTGTGGTTATCAGCAGGGTATCGAGGTAGAAGTGACTCAGCGGGTCCTGCTTCTCCTGCGGGGTTTGAGGAGTGGGGAGTCAGGTATTACCCTGTGTGAACCCGTGTGACCTGCTCCCTGTAACCTGCGCAACTGCACCTGGGTGCCAGTTAAGTCCCTCTGGTTTAACTTCCTTTCCTCCAGGGAACTGGGGGAGCGCGGGAGGGCGGGGTAGGGAAAATCTCAACCGCAGGGCCCACAAGTAATGTGTCTTGCACAGAGCTTTAACGATTTCTTAACGAGCTGTTAATTCGCCGTGGCCCGGGAATGGCTCCCGGCTCCAGTCCCCCGGAGCCAGGTGTGCCAGCTTCATTTTCTGCATGTGGGGAGATCCTACCCAGCCTGCTCAAACCAGGATCCTTGTTGGCTTGAGTCAGGGTGGCAGGTCAGGCCAGAGACAGCCCAGGTCAGTCCCAGGTGGGACCTGGGGCTTCCAGGCAGGGCTTACCTCTGCTATCTTGGTGAGAAAGCAATCGATGAAGTCCCGGGGAGAGTTGGGGTCGAAGGAGGCCTGATGGTCGCGGACTATGCGGGCGATGAGTTCCTTCATCTTCCCGTAGTTCTTGAAAAGGCGCCGGTGTGGCCCGGGGATCCAATCCAGAATGCCCGGGAAGATGTTGTACATCTGGGCATGGGCAGAGTTGGAGGAATTTGGAGACGCCGCCGTGTGTACGTGCAAGCGCGCGTTGCCAGTGGGGTCGGGATGGATAAGATAGCAGGGAAGGGGTCTTGAGGGGGTATCTGGGTTCTGGAGAGGTGGGGGGTGGTAGGGTCTGTGCTCGTGCAGACGCAGGGAGTGGGCGTGGCTAGGCGATGCCCTGTAACTCAGCCGGGCAGCATCAGGCAGTTGGATGGCAGCCCCTTCCCCAGCCCACTTTCCTCCTTTGTGCCTGGACTCCGTGGAAACCTCAAACCCTGTGACCTCCCCTTACCCCTAACTAGGCCTCCTGACCTCTCCCCAGGGGCTGCTCATGATCTGGAAGTTGTCATTGATGAGGCGGATAATGGTGAGCAGACGCTGGTCGTCGTAGTCGAAGCGGCTGCCGAAGAGCACTGAGCAGATGATGTTGGATACCGAGCGGCTCAGCACAAAGGTAGGGTCGAAGGGCTTGCCTGAGGGTGAGGGCCGGGTGGGTCAGGGGTGCAGCTCATGGGACACCATGTGCAACACATCAGATCTCATGCAGTGATAGAGGATGAACGTGCACCACACCCGAGGGAACTGTGACAGAACATGCAGAACAGCACCCCCAAAGTACTTGCAGCACAGAACCCGCACTTCCTGTAGCCCGTCAGTAACAATACCCAACACTGAACAGGCTAGTCATAACCACAGCACATCAGCCGGCCTCATAGGGTCAGCATGGATCAACGCAGTGTTCCGTGACAACACTGCCACCATGGCCACACGCCCAGCACCCAGTGAATGAGCCAACCATGGAACAAACTCCAGAAAACAATACCCCAAACAGCACACATCCCCATATGGTTAGCCACCACATGATAGCACACCCCAGAAACAAGGTCTGGAATTTAATAGACATAGCCTGGATCCTGGCTTGGCCATTTAGACTCCATGTGACCGGAATGATACTGAATTCCCTCCTCAGCCTGTTTTCTCTTCTGTAAAATGGGTTCTTTCCATGGGACTGTTATGAGGATCTGGTGTGAGTAGGAAGTACTTAGCTAAGGGTCTGGCCCATGGTAAAGTCTGCGCAAACCAGGGTGGTGTGGTAGGCTGGATAATGCCTCCTCTCCTCCCCCAAAATGTTAAGTCCCTATCTCCCAGAGCCTGTGGATCTGTGACTGAATTAAGGATCTTGAGGTAAGAATTATTCTGCATTAGCTGGGTGGGCCTAATGTAATTACAGGGGTCCTTGTAAGTGAAGGATCTGAGTAAAGAAATGGTGTTGATGGGAGGAGAAAGGGAGGGAGAGAAAGGGGCATTGGAGGATGCGGTAGCATGCGCTTCGGAGATAGAGGAAGGGACTACGAGGCAAGGAATGCCGGTCGCGGGTAGCCTCTAGACAAGGAAATGGACTTTCCCCTAGAGCTTCCAGAAGGAATCAGCCCTGCTGACCCAGTATAACCTTTGACTTTCAGAACTGTCGGAGAATAAATTTGAGTTACTTAAGATGGTGGTAATTTGTTACAGCAACACTAGGAACCTCATAAAGGCAGATATTATTCTTTTACTTATATCACATCATTAAATCCCTGTAGCACTACCTGCCTCATTCCTATCTCCCTCAGGCTAGCGACATTAGGAGATCAGACTAGAGGACTGTTTGCCTCTCTTTGCCTCAATTTCTTCTGTAAAATGGGACTTATATGGGAATCTACACCTTAGGTCTGGGTGACTTTTCAAGGATTGATATTCTGTAGAAAGTTCTGTACAGCACTGTGTAAACGTTGGTTCTTTTCATTCACTTTTCCCCCATGAGTCGACAGCTTTGACATGGGTTTAGATTCCAGTGCTGCCACTTACTGGGCACAGACTTAAACGTTTGGGGCCTGAGCTTCATGGCCTGTAGTAACCCCCCTAGAACTTCTGGGAAGGTAAATCTGTTAACACAAATACGGTGGCTGGTATCCAGTAAGCACTCATGCAGTGGGCATTCCTGTGTTGAGTGTGGACCTTGGTGTCACTAAGACAAGGGCTTAATTCTTGGCCCCTCCACTTACTAGCTTTTGTTTCTTCACCAGCTGGCATTTCACTCCCCCCACACCTCCCCCTCCGCTAGTTGTGCTCCTTGGAGCCAAGGCCTCACACCAGTGGATTCACCTCCAGGGGGCGCCACACACATGGTGGGCTCAGCCAGGCGCCTCCAGGAATTTTGAGTTTACACCCTGGCGATGGTATCAGGCAGTCTTGACCCCTAAGAGGAATGGAGGTGAATTCAGAACCGACCGTCAAATTTCCGCAACTCCGCCAGCAGGAAGCTGCCTTCCTCCAGGATCCGCTCCTCAATGGTCCTTTTCCCCATTCCGAAATTTCGCAGAATTTGGACAGAGAATCTTCTCAGGGCCTTCCAGCGTTCCCCATTGGAGAAGGCGATGCCTGGGGAGGAGAGGAGGGTTCACTCAGTCAGTGCCTTGTCCCCCAGACGATTGCCATCTGGGTCCCCTTTTCTGATGTTTGCTGGGAGAGAGACTGCGAGTTTGCATTCTCCCCTCCCAGTGATTCTCGCAAGCCTTCCTGACTCTCCAGGCCGAATGGGTGTCTCCTTGCAGCTTTTGTAGGGCCTAGGGCTTCCCTCGCCACAATTCTTTTTTTTTTTTTTTAAAGATTTATTTATTTATGCATACAAGAACTGGGGTACAGGCCAGAGGTGTGCGGGGTGAGAGGACTCACCAGAGACAGTGAGGAGTAGAACAGGAGGATCTACTGAAATACACTGCTGAGGGGAGCAGCAGGCGAGTCAGGAGAGGTCTGCTGCGCCATGTGGGTCACCATGTGGGTCACCTTCCTGGCCGGGGATCGAACTTGTTCTGCAGTAGCTGCAGACAGCTTTAAAGTGCTGTATTAACCCTTGTGCCACCAGGGAGGCCCCCTCTCACCACAATTCTGATAGTTCTGCCTGTTTCCTGGTCAGTTTGGGCCCTTGTTTCCTGCCATGCGTCTGTCTCCAGCACTAAACCCCGAAGGCAGGGAGGGGACTTGTCTTGGTCCACACTGTGTCCCTGGTATTGTCCCTTGTAGGGCTTATCACACAGGAAGTGTTGGCGATTGCTTATTGGTTTATGAATGTACATTAAGGGGGAGAAACAAGAAAAGTGAGAACAGGCCCTGGGAGCTCCTCTGGGAACGAGACAGATCCTATTCTTTTTTCTCCCTGAACACGGGGTCCTACTTCCTGAACACTCTTCACCCCATATTAGTTCCTAATGGGTCATCTTCATTGTTTAGGTCTTGACTTAGAGGTCCCTTCCTACAGGAAGCCTTTCTGGTCATCCCTTCCTGGCTCAGGCAGGTGCTTCTTCTGGGTCCCCATAGAAACCCAGACCTTCCCTTTCCAGCCCTGACCACTCTGGGCTGTCACTGGGAGCTACACCAGGATTACCTCTCGAGTGTATTCATCTTTGATTCCTGTGAAACTAGCAGAGAACTAGATGCTAATGATGAAAAAACTATAATGTGTTGCATTGTATGCATTATCTCACTGGCTTTTTGTAACAAGCTTCTCATGATAACAGACTGAAGATCAGAGGGGTGAGGTTAGCTGCCCAAAGGTACACAGCCAGTAAGTGCTGCTATCCTCATACACAGCACTGAATAATTAGTATTAATAACAGATGATATATGTAGCACACAGTGGTGCTCTGTGCAAAAGTAGCAAGGTGTCTTTCTCAACTGCCCTGTTTCCGCCTCCTGGCATCTACTATATCTTTTCTCTTTGCTTCATCTGCTATATTTGGACAGGTGTGATCATAAGATTAAGCCCAGGAAAGGGGACAAGAAGGCAGAAACTATACTTAATATATACTTTTTTTTTTTTAAAACCAGATGATCTCTCCAATTCCAAATCCTGGGGGTAGTCTGTGACCCATCTAGTGTACAGGCCAGGGGGTAACCCTAGGAATCCTTTTGAGGAAGAATAGTCCAGGAAGCAAGCAAATCTTTGGACCCCCCTTTGTAATCAGAGAACTTTCCTTCCTTTCTTTCCTATCTCTCTCCTTCCCTCCCTCCTCTTTCAGTAAGACATTTATGTTACAAAAATCCACAAAACTGGGTGATTTCCAAACCTGCAGTGGACAGGGTGTTGAGTCAGGAGAGATATGGAGTTCATGGTGTGAGCTGCTGGATGGGTGGGCTGGGTTGGGCTAGGGATGATTAGGGATTGATGGAAAACTGGATTTGAGGTCAGTGATGGGGTGGAGCTGGGTAGAATGATTGGTTGGTTGGGGTTAAATTGAGCTTGGCTTTGGGTATATATGTGATAAGATTTGGATTTGGTGATGGTGGTGGGGTTAGGATTGAACATGGAATTGGGGGCTACCAGCTTCAACAGGTGATTGCAATAGAAGATGAGGCTGTGGAATTCAGCTTGACTCAAGGATAGGATGGGGTGGATATTGGGGCAGGGTTTGTAATGGAACTGGAGGTTAGGGTGAGGCATAACCAGTGTCGCTGATAGAGGTGGAGTGAAGGTTGAAGTGAGGAATTCGGTAGGTTGGTTGAGGGGATTGGATTGAAGTGGACCATGAGGGCTGGGGTCAGATCATTTGGCCACTTGATTGAGATGGAACTTTGATGATGTGGTTGGGACAGAGACAGGGATGAGGAGGAGCATGGGGCAGGTGGAGTGGGTGGTAGGGCCAGTTCAAGATCATGGTGGGATTTGGACGTGGGGAGGGTGGACAGACTTTCCCCTAGGCTGGCACTGTGCAGTCTCTCATCCTGATTCCCTCCCTTAACATGGAGGGGGGCGGAGGCGAAGGAGATGGGAGCAGGCTTACCATTGCCCTTTGTAAAGTTGAAAAAGACAGGGTAGTCTCCCCGGCCGCTGAACTCCTCCCCTTGGTCCACAAGGGCCTCCTTCACCGTTTGGTATCCGCTGAGAACCACCACCCTCCTGGGCCCCAGGTGGATTGTGTACATTGAGCCGTACTCCTTGGTCAGCTGGGGGTGGGAAGACAGAGGTAACGGGGGCACTAGGCCGTGGGCCCCACCCCTTCCCTTCACTCCCAAACGTAGCCCTTGCACCTTGGTGAGGGAGGTCAGCATGTCCTGGGAGCGAAGCTGCAGCAGGTTGCCCAGGAATGGGAGGGGCGTGGGGCCAGGTGGCAGCCGTCCCTTGCCCCTGGAGCCATTGGTCAGCAATAGGCACACGAGAGCCAGGAGCAGGAACAAGATGGCTGTGCTTACACTGTCCATGGTGAGACAGCTGCAGGTGTCTGGGGGACAGGGCGGAAGAGGGCAGGGCTGAGCAGGGAGTGGGATCCTTTCACTTCCCATCCCCTTCTGGAATGCCTTCCCCAGGCTCTGGAGATGAAGGCAAATGGAGAGAAGAAAGAGAGAGGCAGAGTTGGGAGAGGAGAAGTCAAAATACAGCGAGACAGACAGTAAGAGAGACAGGGGTGGAGACAAGTAGAGGGGACAGAGACATGTGGAGATGAGGAATACAGAAAAACAGAGTTCTAGGTATCTATAGATGTCTGCCTATCATTGCCCAATCACGATTGATCTGTCGATATATCATCCATCCACTCACCCACCTATCTGTCAGTCTGTCCATCTAGAGATTGACTCAGACAGAAACAAGATAAAGAGAGATACACACAAGGACAGAGACAGATAAATCAAGATACAAAGATAGAAACCAGATAGAAAATCCCGGGAAGAGAGGCTGGCAAAGAGAGACTAGAGAGATAGAGCTAGCGGGACAGGGCCTCCTTGGTGGCGCAGGTGGTTGAGCGCCACACTGTGAAGCTGTCCGCAGCCTCTGCAGCGCAGGTTCCATTCCAGCCAGCCGGCGAGCGAGAATCCCACATGGTGAAGCAGACCTCTCCTGTCTGGCCCGCTGCTCCCCTCAGCAGTGTATTTTGTCAGTCTGCCTATTCTGTTCCCCACTCTGTCTCTGGTGAATCCTCTCACCCTCCCGCCCATCTGGCCTATACCCCTGTTCTTGCATAAATAAATAAATCTTTAAAAAAAAATAAAAAAGAACTAGAGGGACACAGAACTAGAGAAAGACGGAAGAGAGAGACAGAGTGGCCGAGAGAGGGATCCTTACTGGGAGACATGGAGATGGATTCTGAAAGACAGAGAAAAAGGGCGAGAAAGGAAGAGATAGACTGACCACAGAGACTGAGGGAGAAATGAACGACAGAGAGAGAAGAAAAATACAGGCACAGAGGGGACATTAAAGAAATCAGCAGAGATGGAGACCCAGACAGACCGAGGAGGGAAGGGAGCAGAAGATACGCAGGGACTCAAGTATTATACTGAGGTATTGGTCACCTTTCAGAGCCAGATGCCACCCTCTGGGGGGAGCTCCCTGCGCCCAGTCCTGGCTGGGAGCTCCAAAGCACTGTCAAATCAAACAGAGTCCCAGGAGCACCTCGGAAAGACACAGCCAGAGACCCTGAAGTCCCGCAGAGGAGAGACAAGGGAGGCCCTGCCAGTCCAAGAGGCAGGGAGATGGAGCCGGTGACCTGCTCTCTTGAGCCATGCCTGCCTGGCCCTTTACCTGCTCAGCTGTGGGGGCAGCTGAGGTGTGTTCTGGAGCAGACTGGCGGTGGCTGTCCCAGATGTACGCCCTGCAGCTCTGGGTGTCCCTCGGGGGGACGGGGGCTGCCTTTAAATCATCTCTGTCTACACCCCTCTGCCCCCCTTCCCTTGCTCTCCCAACGACCTTTAATCTCCTCCCATCTTCCTGCGGCTCTGTTCTAGTGCCCCGGGGCTCACGGCCAGCTGGAACACAGCCTCGGGTGGTGCCGGGCCTCAGTCACCATCCCGTGCTACCCTGCAGGCCTGCCGGCTGATCTCTGCTCTCCCCGCCATGGCCCTTGTGGTCATCTGCCCTGGAGAGGCCTCTCCCAGGTCTGGTTTTGGGGTCTGGGTTGGGGGGCTGAGGCATACTATGAGTCAGGGTGAGAGCAGGGGCTTTTTGGGCACTGGGTTTTATTTTTCAGTGTTCAAGTCCATTTTATTCATCGGCTGGTCATGTGACCTTGGGCAAGACTCTCTCCGTTCTGGGCCAGCGTCTTCTCATGGCCAGAGTCTGTTTCACAACCCTGTTGGCTGTTCTCTGGCTCTTGTGCCTTGTCTCTGGATTTCTGCCTCTGAATCTTTTTGTCTCTGTGTCTCTGCCTCTGTTCTGTTCTGTTCTGATTTTCTCTGCTCCTCCATCTGTGTAGGTTTTCTTCAGCCTCCTCCTTCCTCTGTGCTCAGGGTCTCTCTCTTTTGGTCTCTCATGCCTCTTGAGGTGGGCAGGGCCGGAGACTGGTTGAGTGGAAGGAGGGTTTGAGAGAAGGGAGGGGTGGTGCAGCCCCAGGAGAAAGGAACTGGGAATTAATGTGCCCCTGTACACCACTGCCCACATAGCCCTCTTGCCCATCTCCCAAGTGCCACCCACCACTCAAGCTATGTCTGTTCTAGGCTTTTGCCCCAGAAGCTGGCCTTAGTTACCCAACTCCTGGCCAAATCTGAAGGACAGGCTGCCAGAGCTTGAGGCTGGGCCAGGACTGGGGTGGGGGGTGGGGGTGGCCAGGGTAGGAGGTGGGAGAGAGGTCCTGAGGTCATGGGTCTGGAATGGCGAGTGCAAGTGTGCTGCTCCCATGGGTCTGTGGGTAAACACCATGTTTGCCATTCCCATGGGGGTGGGGGAGGAAGTCCTTGGAGGTCCTGGGGAATTTGATACCCCATGTCCCCAGAACAAGGGGGGATGGAGGTGGGGCCCATGCTTGTTGTTTAAGTTCCAGCAAGGCCGGTTAGGGCAGGTCCTAGAACAGGGATGAGGGCTTGATTATGGGATTATGTACTTTTAGTTTCCCTTGGCATCTACCCCTACTTCTGGCAGAGAGGGCAGTACTGGGTTCATGGGAATCCCATAAGCTCTTTCTCCCCTAACTCCAGAACTTGGTTGAGAGGGGCCTGATGGGACTGCTTCACTGGGGAACCTAGGGTGCTAGGGAAGGGGGGGTTTAAGGGGCATTGCATTTGTTCTTGTGGTCTGACCTGCTCTCCTGCTGCAGGGAGAGTGGGGACTGAAGCAGGGGGATCCTCTGGTAAGAAGAGCCTGGTGTGGGGGGGAGGGGGTGTTGAGCAGTATCTCTGGTCTCTACCCACTAGAAGCTAGAGGCAGACTCCAGATTATTTATTGACCTCTTGGGGGCAAAGCCAACCCAGCGGGGAAGCACAGGTGTGATGGAAGAAATGGAAACACACCCAGCACAGCTCAACCCTCCTCACCTCTAATCACCTTCTCTTTGACCCCCTACTCTTACACTTTTTTTTTAAAGAATTTTTTATTTACACAAGAACTGGGGTACAGGCCAGATGGGCAAGAGGGTGAGAGGATTCACTAGAGACAAAGCGGGGAACAGAACAGGCCCAGTGACTGAAATACACTGCTGAGGGGAGCAGCGGGCGTGGTAGGAGAGGTCTGCCGCGCCATGTGGGACCCTCGCCAGCCAGCCGGGATTGAACTGGCTACGGACAGCTTCACAGGGCGGCGCTCAACCGCCTGTGCCAACAGGGAGGCCCTACTCTTACAGTCCATTATCATGTTTGCGTGTCTTCAGTAACATGTACCACATGCTCTGATTTCTGTTCCATTTTACGGGCCAGGCTCCTGATTTGGGTCAGGCAGCTGCCCTAGTGACATTCCCATCCCATTGTTACTGGGAATATGCCCGGGTTCTGCTGCCTGTCACCGTGAAAAAGTCAGTAGGCAGACACAGGAACTGAATCTATAAGTACTCTTTATTTTTCAGATTCCTGGCTGTTGACCTGAGAGGAGAGAAGGGCTCTTCTCTCATCTCATCTCAACTTGACCTTTTAACAATGAGTTAAACAAAAAGCAAATCATAAGCAAACAGCCCGTCAGAATAGCCTGTTAATCATAAGCAAACAGCCCATCAGAATAGCCTTTCAGAGTCCATGTTCTTGGTATTTGTCACATTCAGCTCCCGAGTTTGTATCAGCTTCTCAGTTATTTTGACATTGGTACAGCCGATGGTGTCAGTGTCCACTGCTCGTTTGGGCATCAGTGGGGCAGGAATCTCAGTTTTATTTATTTTTTAAATATTTATTTATGCATATAAGAGCTGGGGTACAGGCCAGAGGTGAGGGGGGTGAGAGGATTCACCTGAGACAGAGTGGGGAACAGAACAGGAGGATCGACTGGAATATACTGCTGAGGGGAGCAGCGGGTGAGACAGGAGAGATCAGCTGTGCCATGTGGGTCACCTCCCTGGCTGGGGATCGAACTCATACTGTAGTGGCTGCGGATAGCTTCATAGTGCTGTGCTTAAGCCCCACACCACCAGGGAGGCCTGCATATCAGTTTTGTTTTTTTTTTTTAATAGAGGCATGTTTATTTATTTATTTATTTATTTGTTTGTTTGTTCTGTTTTACACATGCACTGGGTACAGTCAGAAGCGCGGGAGGGTGAGAGAATTCACCAGAGCCAGAGCGGGGAGCAGAGCAGGCAGAAGGACCGAAGTACACTGCTGAGGGGAGCAGCAGGCGGCAGGAGAGGTCTGCGCGCCATGTGGGACCCTCCTCCGGTGGCTGGGGAGCAGCCGGGGGATCAAACCGGCACCGCAGAGGCCGCGGGCAGCTTCGCAACCCAGCGCTCAACCACTGCGCCACCGGGGAGGCCCCTGCATATCAGTTTTAAAGCAAGAGTTTTAGTGTGAAGAAAACAGATTAGTCACATAGTGTGTTTGTGCAGACCCTATATACAGTGTGGCAACCTTCTCTGCCTCTAGCCCCCACCCCATCACCTACTGTTTGTCTTTCCCTTTAATGAGTCATTTTTTTTAAAAAGATTTATTTATTTATTTATTCAAGCACTGGGTACAGTCAGAAGCACGGGAGGGTGAGAGAATTCACCAGAACCAGAGGGGAGAACAGAGCAGGCAGAACTGATGAAACACACTGCTGAGGGGAGCAGTGGGCAGCAGGAGAGGTCTGCGTGCCATGTGGGACCCTCGCCCGACGGCTGGGGATTGAACCGGTGCTGTAGAGGCTGTGGGCAGCTACGCAACCCGGCGCTCAACTGCTGCGCCATCGGGGAGGCTCTAATGAGTCATGTTTTGAGTGGTGTGTTTCGATGGATATTTTTCTAGTTTACAATTTTTCCCAATTATATCTTTTCCTTTTCCTCCACCAGCACCCCTATAACCCTTGTCCCTTTCCTCTCCCCTCACTCTTGACGTCAGCGCCCTCACAGTGTTTACCCATGTCCACTGGTCTTTGAAAGCATTTAGGTTATCCAGTTGACTGCTGTGTAAGTGTCCAGTATTTACTTTTATCATTCTGACTTGCTTTACGTAATTCTCTCAAACTCTCATTTTGTTGCAAATGGCTGCATTTTATCTCTCCCTGTGGCTGAATCGTATTCCATAGTGTGGGTATGCCACATCTTTTTTTTCCCCAAGATTTTTTTTATTTTTGCATACAAGAGCTGGGGTGCAGGCCAGAGGTGCAGGGGGTGAGAGGATCCACCAGAGACAGAGTGGGGAGCAGAACAGGCAGATCTACTGAAACACACTGCTGAGGGGAGCAGCAGACGAGACAGGAGAGGTCTGCTGTGCCATGTGGGTTTCTCCCTTGCTGGCTGAGGATTAAATTTGTGCTGCCTGTGGCTGGGGACAGCTTGTGTCTTTGTGGTGATAGCTTGATAGTGCTGTGTCTTTAACCCCTGCGCCACTAGGGAGGCCATGGTATTTCCACTTTTTTAAGGTAAATCCAGATTGCTTTCCATATTTGTTGTACCAGTTTACTTTCCTATGAACAGTGTAATAGGGTTTCTTTTTCTCCACATCCTCTCTCCAGCACTAGTTGTTGGAGGTCTTTTTAATACGTACCATTTTCACAGTTGTGATAGTTTACATTTTTTTGAGGTAAAATTTACAATGATGAAATGTACAAATGTTACACGAACATTTGCCGAGTTCTGAATGTATGTATCAATTTGTCCCAAATTCCAGAATGTGTGCAATCTTAATATGGCATCACTATTACTGAGACTATCTTATTCACAACATTAATCATTTGTGAATGTGAATTTAATCCATGTCATCCATAAAATGTCAGTTTATACAAACAGAAATATTAAAAATGGCAGCTACTATATGATGACCCCGAAAGATTCTGTTTGTAAACAGGTAGGGTCTCATGGGACTAGATTATTTTATACTCATTTCCCCAGTATATTCTTTTGCTTTCCCTTTCATTGTGACATATAGAAAGGGCATGGGCTTTGCAGTTGGTAAATCTGGGTTCAAATCCTGATAGTGTCTCTTAGAAGCTGTGCGACATCGAGCTATTGAATGCCTTTGTATCTTGGTTTCTTCATGGATAAAATAGAGATAATACTTTACCTACCAACCCATAAATCAGTGGCTGGCTCGGTATCAGAACTCAAAATTGATTAAACAAACATATGAAGAGTAGAAACAAAAATGTTCCTGGCATATGGCTGATATTGAGTAGTAGGTCTCCTATATACGTGGGACTGATAATTTTTTTTTTTTTTAGAGGCATGTTTTATTTATATATTTATTTGTTTGTTTGCTTGTTCG